TCAATAGATCGCAAGCTGGCTACTTGATTGAGCGGGTCCTCTGTATGAGAGGTCCGCTCCGATACCAAACTGTTGCATACCGTATAGGCGCAGACCAAAACAAGAACCGACCTTTCAATACAAAGTATAAGATAGCACAGCGGAAGACTTAGATACCAGTGATCCGAACAATCAATGTTGTAATGCAGCCCTGAACATACATCATCATCATCGTTTCTTAGTGTGAATGGGTCTGGCGCTTCACACAGGAAGACAACGCCAGCCTAGAACATGCACAGACGAGGAGGAAGGGGATAGACGAAGAGGAGGGGAAAGATGGGAATGTCGTCAACACCAAGTCTTCGGCACAAGCCCAAATAGTCCCTCGTCGAACTGTCGGAATCCCAGATGTCAAGTCTGGATCCAATGTCGTCAAGTCTCCAGTCACAACTCTGTCTCTCTGTCGTAGTGGGAGAAGTCAGGTGGCGAGAGGGTGAGAAGAGAAGGTGGACTTAGAAGAGGAAGAAGAAGAACTCTCTCTCTCTCTGTGTCCAGTACTAACCTGTGAAGTTGGCGCCTTGATGCAGGTACCGTGAAGATGGATCTGGAGCGATGGCGCCACAGGTAAGTAACATTGGCCTCCGCCAGTCTCTCTCCCACTCTACGATCTACTACCTACCAGCGCCCAGCGCTGAAGACTACAGCTACAGCTATGGCGCCAAAGGCTACAGCTAGCGCTACCACTACTGCCTGGCGCTGAAAACTATTGCAGCGCTCCTCCTGAGTGCTGCGGCCGAATCCTGAAGACTACCTCTGCCTACTGACCTTTTCCTGCAGGGCGGGCCAGTCCCTTATAGTGCTGGCCCGTGCAGGAGGCTGGCCGTGCCAATGCCTCCCTGGCCTAGACCCTGCGGAAGCTTCCAGGCAAGAGCCTGGAAGTTCCCTGAAGTTTCCCTGTAGGGAAACAGGCTGGGGCCTGTAGGCCCTGTCAGAAGGAAGCTTCCAGGCAAGAGCCTGGAAGTTTCCCTGTAGGGAAACAGGTTGGGGCCTGTAAGCCCTGTCAGAAGGAAGCTTCCAGGCAAGAGCTTGGAAGTTTACCTGTGGGGAAACAGGTTGGGGCCTGTAGGCCCTGTCAGAAGGAAGCTTCCAGGCAAGAGCTTGGAAGTTTCCCTGTAGGGAAACAGGCTGGAGGTCCGGGACGGGCCCTGCAGGGCCCGTGTGGCTGCACAGTATGCCACACTCTAACTCAGTTTTAAATTCGGATTGCATGAAGTTTACCTCCTCTCACGAGTTAGTTTTGGTTTGGGGCAGGCAGGTGAAGGTTTTGATCAGTATTTGAGGGTAGGGCTGACAATTTTCAGATGGTGGATACTTTTGTTTTTCTTCTGCGAACTATGTGGTGGAGGAGGTCGGCTTGTCGCAAGAGGAAGTCGAGGGTTGTCTGCTTTCACTTTTCTTCATCTCGCGAACTATGGGTGGAGGAGGTCGGCTTGTCGCGGGATGCAGTTGAATAAGGGGGTCTAGGAAGAGTGGGGATCAGTTGTCTTTTACTTTCCTATGGAACAGGCGTGGGACTGAAGTTGTTTTTTACCTTCATATGAAACAGGCGTGGGACTGAAGTGGAGGGGGGAAGCTTTTTTTGATGGGTAACGTTGCATCCTGCTGGTGAGGAGGGCTAGCTGGCGGAATTGGATTAGGGCGCAACTTCAGTTGAGATGGTGGCTTAGCTGTTATAAGTCTGCGCCGAAAGGTGGTAAGGGGATGGGAGGTTAGGGTGCTGCGCCTGTTTTGCGATGGAGTGAACTACTTCTTCCTCCTCCTTCGAACTATGTGGTGGAGGAGGTCGGCCTGTCGTAGGAAGAGGAAGAATTGAAGTCTGCTTTTCATCGCTATGGGATTTTTGTGAGGTCATTGGTCTATTGTTCTTCTCTTCCGAACTATGTGGTGGAGGAGGTCGGCTCGTCGGGTGGTGGTTATGAGGGGGATTGACGACGTTGACACCATCGCTGTGGAAAAGTTTAGGTCAAACTTCGTGCCTAGAGGAGGTTTGACGAGGGCGAAATGGACAGCGATAAGGACAGGACGAGTAGATCCTGTAGTCAGCGTGCAAATAACGTCCTTGCGAATGGCGCTCTATCGGATGAAAGGTATGGCAGGGGGATGGAAATGACTTTGACAGCAAGTCTACAACAGTCCGTGATTGGTCTGAAGTTGTAGGAAGGGACGCGTCGGCTGAGGTAGATGGTGACTCTTGTGTCCTCAACAGTCCGTGATTGGTCTGAATTTGTAGGGGGGGATACTTCAAGGACCGCATGGCTGGAGGATAAGCAGCAGAGGATGATGGATGTCCTTTGGGAGCTTGAAGAGGGGCCTGATCCACAGCTGGGTGATCTCCTTGATTGGCAGCTCGCGGACTCCTGGATGGGTGATTGCTATGCAATTTACGAGGAAGGGAGCGATCTGTGTGATAAGGGGGCAATATGCACATCTGGGGTGGTGTTTGCGAGCACTGCCACAAGTGGTCCGCAGCAACTTTCAGAAGCATCTTCTACACCAACGGTAAATTTGACAGTGAAGAGAACTCCAACAGCATCAACAATGGGTACGACAATGACATCCTCTTCTACACCAACAATCCACACAACCACTCCAACAACAGCGATAAGTTCTGCAGCTATATTAACAGCGACAATGATATCTTTGACAGAATCAACACCAACGATCTTCATCACGACAACAACAGTGCTTCTCACGACAACATCTGAAATAAGTTTGTCAACTATATCTACATCAACAGCGCCAACCGCGATGGCATCATCATCACCAACAATTTTTCAAACGACAACAACAACGATTCCGACGATGACATCTGAAACACTATCTACATCAACAGCACCAACCGCGATGACATCATCAACACCAACAATTTTTCCAACGACAACAACAACGATTTTAACGATGACATCTGAAATACAATCTTCCAACCAAGATCTGTCGATGGGCCAGCTACTAAGGTGAGGGCTATTCGGTTTCTTCCCGCCCTCTGGCATGAAAATTTTGACGTGCATGAAATGATGCTGATCTGGCGCTGCGGTGAGGGGTGGAAGGACGATGAGTTTTTTCCATGGGATTCGGGAGGAAGAAGAGAGGCTGCGAAGAGGGGGGTTGGGAGGCGGGGGTGACTTCTTGGTTTGTTTTCTCTCCCACCCTCCCACCCTATTTTCATCTGTGTTGATCTCTCTAGTTTGGTGAATTCTTCCTCTTTCGTGGTACTTGATCTCAGTCCATCTCCATCTCATGGGGCCATATTCAATCTTTGGTCGTCATTGGTTAGGGTTTGACTTGGTTTGATGGTCTTTAAGTTTAGATTAGAATTTTCTTCCAACTACTGTGCTCCCCTTTGGTTTGTGTATGTGTTAACTACTGCTGTTTAGGGGAAGCTCGTCGTAATTACTAATGAACTACTAAACTTTCTTGCCCTGTTATCAATCTCTTTGCCTTATTGATATCTCCC